TGCTCTGAAAAATGATAATATTCTCTCATGAAGATGCCGATGGTCTATATTCACTATCAGAATAATAAACTCCACTCGTCTTGATCGATGTAGTCCCAGGGTTATAAATCTCTTCAAAACTTATGATTAAACCGAACATTGATACAAACAAGTGTGATTCTGTTCAACAATTGAACAGAGCAATGAATAATTATCAGCTGACAACAATACCGTACGAATGGAAATGCTCTGAATGAAATCACACTATCGTTCAAATCTTAGACTACAATGTCGGATTCCTTTTGACTTCAGCAAACTTATCTATGTCTCCATCTTTTAAATGGCAGTCTCTGTTAATACTACCAACAACAAATACTTCACAGGCGTAACAATGAAAACAAAACAAATGAAACAACAATAATGAATTGAGCACCTATAGATCACTGGTTCCACTCTTTCTACTCGTTCAGAATAAACTTTCCCAGTAAAATGTGATATTCCAAAGATACCCATCGTTCCTATTCAGGCAGTTGCCGTGGCATTTGCAATCATTTCGACTAACTCCTGCATTTGGCGCTTATGTTCTTTCATTTTTTCGGTATTGAACGCCGCATAGGCACTCGTCTCTTCGGCACTTCGTAGATGACGTCTAAAATTAACGATTATCGTACAGATGGAAATACTCTGAACTCAATTATTCAATACATCAGAATTACAAGATCACAATTCGAAGTTAACCGTTCAACACAAATTCTGAAGGTTAAAGTTTCTCAAATCATTTCCTCGATTTTCTAATATTCATTTTACTTTACCATATCATAAACTTCCAATCTGTTCGATACAATCATATAACTTCTGTTTGCCCGAATAAAAATACAGTTAAAACAACCAACTTTGAGATGTTGTTGAGCAGGGCTGTCTCCCAGTCCCCATTCGACTCATACACTTCATCCAGAACACGTACCAAATTGATGAACGGCAGGTACTGAGGGCCACTTTGCCAGCTTAAATTCCACAATTCATCAACTCAAACAACACCCGAACACTTATGAAATGACACTTTCGATGGATATAATCCGACAATTGACTACCACGTAAGCAACTCAACACTATACTCATTTCACTATAATATCGGCTGAATTAAAATGACTCTTTTGTACAATAATTCGTTAACTTCAATTGATCAATTCCACGAAGTTGAATAATGTTTACAAAATTTTAAACAAACCGAACGTATTTCTTAAAAGGCAGCCTCATTGCACGAAAGTTTCCTTTTCTCGCCGCTCCAATTGATTCGCGATTTGTATCGAATGAAGCGCATATCACGTAGACTTTGTTCTTCAACGGTCCATCCAGCATCTCTCGTCCATACCTTCAATATGATAAAATCCGCATCAAAATAAAATAATAAAAGAAGTCTAATAAGTGAAAAGCGAATCATAATCGGAATGTATTAAGCCCGATGATAAACATGAAATTCATTGGGATAACCATCTCTTAGCAAAATAAACTGATCATAAAACAAAAGTAAATTTCACTAATTGTAAGATTACTATTAAAATATAAGCTCATTATCAATACTGCAATTAACATCTCTTCATAAATACAGCTCCAAAATGATTTTCCTTATGTTCTTAACAATATCGCTAATAATAATAAATACTGACCTAGTTATATAGACGATCTCCTTCTCATTCGGATAGATATCGCGAACAGACTGATTCAAAAAGTCTGGCAATATTGTTTGATTCATGTGCTCACCGTTGTAGAATCCAATGAAACTATAACAAGTACACAGTCAGATCAACGTTCACTTTCTTACATCAATAAACATAATGAAAAAATCCATAAATGAATATCGAGCATCACACTTCAAATTCTGAGCTAAATAGAACGACGAAATTCCACAGTGACACGTAATCTTGAACGATTATACTCATTATCGTTTGAATATTATTAAAATATATGGGTTGTTTCGGAGGCAACGTATTGATAGTTTATAGAAAAACTCACTTCTCAAGAAGCTTTTGATTCTGCTTTCTCTGATCGTCGAAATTCGCGAACGTCAACTGGAATGGCTCCTCTCGCCGAAAATTTTCCTATAAGAAAACGTTTTATAACTCGAAAGTGTTCATTCCGAAAGTTTTTGAAAGTCCAATTCCATGAATAAATTTTCAAATGAACATGAGAAACTGAATCCAGATTTGTATCAACTGAGAACGAACCGAAATAAGGTATTGCATTTGGTTTCCGATAATATTTCGACGTTTCTCGGCCATTTCATCAATGAACTGCATATCGAAAACCACATGTGGCTTCTCATCAAGCCGCATGGTTCGCCACACACGTGCTCCGTA